GAGCAAAATTTGATTAGGTATCGTATGTTTTTGTCTGATTATGCTGAGGATATCAACCCGAGGGCACAACTATATTTTGCCTTTCTGCCTTTGGATGTCCAAAATTATGTAAATTGTGTGTGCGGCTCAAAGTTTAATGAACAGGCAATATTTATGAATGCAACAGGTGTGAGCGGGTCGAGCGGAGAAGACCCACAAAAAGACACTGTCCCAGTAGGACTTGTTGCATTACTGTTTGATTATGCAGCCACACGTCGCTGCGCAGGCTAATGCCACCGCTTGCCATCGTCTGTGGTGCCACCAGAAGCGGACGAGGCGATTTTGAATGGTGTAATGAACCCTAGCCAGGCAACCAGCTAGTGGGATTGCCCGCCATGCCACGTTGCAGAAGGCGACGGTGTGCCATAAACCTTATTTTCTTTGTGTATCTCCACACATGCTACTATGCTCGTACTACATATACATATAGTATACTTTATACTCGTATACTCGCATACTTCTGCTCCAGTGCGTGTGTAATCTGATAAACAGATGTGCGATTGAAGGCATAAACAATTTTACAGTACGTTGGCTGCAAAAAAACACACAAAAAAAAAACAAAAAAACACGAGTGCATTTCAACGTTTGACCTGAAATCACCTGTTACACATTTTTCAAAAATGTATGAGGAGTGCGTTGGAAATATGAATTTGATAGATGCCTTTGCTTGCTGCATAAACACCAAGCTGTTTGATGTTGAGGAGAAGCAGCAGCATTTGCGTCGTTTTTTAATTGAGTGCGGGCCGAAGCATCAAAAAGTTGCAAGCATTATAGAATTCAAGCTAAGTAAACAATATAACCAACTGTTTTCTTGAAACGAATTGCGGCGTCACTTTCGAATCTTCCCCCATATCACTATACAACATGAAAGGAAGCCCCCATCAAAGCATACGTGTACACCATAGGGAGGGGGAAATGTATCTACATACTTGTTATAGATCAAGGAATCCTTAAATTCTGAAAAAAGCTATGTTCTTGCTGTTATAAAGTCACTTTTTATAAGTTTGACTGGAATGTCGTCAATACGTTTAACCATAACTCTAAAGAAGATTTTGTTCCACCCAGAGTGTCTAGAGCTAGTTTAACTGATTTTAATTCTTTTCCAATCCCAAACACAAAGCTTAGAATAATCAAGCAATCATTTAAAAAAACCATTAGTTGGAACCGAATAGTGTATTGTTGCCTCCCACTGTGGGGTCCATCTTCACAGCACAGCCTAATTGGGATTCTTTGATGTGCAAAAATGTTTGCTGTTTGGCCAATTTTGCAAATGCTCGTCAATTTGTATGCGCGATCGGGAACGACCAAATGTGGCTGCAGACCAAATTTGGCCAAAAGCAGCAGCATTGCACGCGCCAAATGCCGGATTGCTGGAGTATTGGAGTGCTTGGGGCCAGTTTGGGCTTCCGTGCCACTTACACGTTTGAACGACTGCGACGACCGACAACATGCCTTTAATTATGAACATTTCCCTATACACTTTGCCAATTTATGTTTCTGCTTGTCATGTCGCCACACCCACTACACGGCCACCATAACTATTACCAGCTCCATAGCCGTACCCATCGCTTCAATTCAGTTCGTGTATTGACTTTTGTTATTTGTTGTTTTTCCCTTTCCGTTTGTCCATGTTGCCTGTTCGCCATGTGGCAGGCAACAAAACAAAAATTGAAAAACTCAACTTTCCTTTTGTTGTTTGTTCAAAAAGCGGAAATGTGTGCACAACACCACCATCTCCACCCCCACCTCCACCACTCCACTACCACTCCACTACCTTCAGCACCATCGCCAATAACAGCAACAGCTTTGTGTTTGACTTATTAGCATATTGCATATTTTGAGTTGAAAATTGTAAAGCTATCCATGGGTTTTCCCCTCCATATTGGAGGGCCAGGTCAAACGCTTTTCCCTCGGCCATATTCGGGCATGGGTCATTTAATGGAAATTTATTATATTTCTCCATAAATTCGGAGCTAGTGAGCTATTCATTGGTGACTATTTAATTGACTTTTCACCATAGGTTCCATTGGAATTACCTAGTCTCCATTTTAAATGGACACTGACTATAATTCTGGGCATAGGAATTGTGTCAGCCAGAACGGACATGTATTCCTTAAGCGATGAATTCACGTTACTAACATTTATTTATTGCTGAGCAATATAAACATCAATATAAACAGCTACTTGAATTAATTCATGACAAGGTCAGTTGATTGCTATTTTCACCGCACAAGGGCTTCTATTTGCGGGCACAAATAATGTATCGAGTTCGGCCATATCAGATCACTCTATATATGTGTAACTATATATCTATCATACTGTCATAGAAACGTTTTTGTATGGACAACTTTTTTGTTTATAAAGATATTAGGACCAAAATGCACCTGGAACCATCTCTTTTGGTTTGCGGATGCTGGCCACGAAAGAACAAATGCAAATACATAATGTATTATTTCTAATGATCAATTAGATAGCATGGACACACCAGTATATATGCATATATACATCACGATCCATGTCTATGGAGTGTTAATGTTTTTGTTGTTAGGCAAAGTAAAGGGAACAAGCTTCGACGCAATCATAAATATATCTGTAGTGATTTATTTATTATTTATGTCTCCATTTAACGGATGATTTTAACTTTTTGTTTCTATAATATTGTAAACTTTTCTGAAGCCACAGATAATTAATTCAGAATAAGATTTCAATAAGGGATTTTATATAAGGGATTTTAATTTTTTTTGTTAATTTTTGCGCACTTCTGGTAAAGTTTCCCCCCTGGTTGCTCGCAATTCTACGAGTATAGCTAATATTTTAACTTCCGTTTGCGTACATCTTCTTCTTGCTTCTACTATGCTTACAAGCCTAGGTATAACGGATGTCGGATGTTTTTTTTTGGAGCAAAGGGTATTCATTGTCAGTGTAAGAAAGCGGAAACAGATTATTTTGGAGTCAAGCTGGAGTGACTTTACTGCTTTATTCACTTGAAATTGAAAGTGGAAGCGGAATGGAAACATACTTATGATTTGTTAGCTGGCAATAAATCGACTTCTGCCTGCATAAACAATACAATCATAATATGGTGTCCTGTGTGGTATTTAATAAAAAATACATAGACGCCTGTGCGTCCTTACATTGATGATAAAAAATTCAGCTCCAAACGTCAGTGGCATTCATCATGAAGGCGACTGTCAGCCCCTGCGGACTATCAATGTCAAATCGGCCACAAATGTCAGGTTGCCAACCCGTCAATGTTGATGCAGTGAGTACTCATTAAGCCAAAACAGAACTAACAAGGCGCGACTCTCCGGCGACAACAACAGCAACAACAGCAACAACAGCCATAACAAGCCTATCAGCCCATGACAATTATCACTTGCGTAAACATAACGAATGTAGTAAAATGCAAAAGCGATGTCGCGTGCGGGCGTGGTGGAGGTGCTTTGTTTGTGGCGCCTGCCTGCTGATGTGGTGACAAACAAACAGGGGAGAGGGGAATAGGAGACTGGCGAGGCAGCTTAATATGCAAACGCGATCCAAAGTGGGCGGTGGAGGGTGCACCGTAGTTAACACGCTTCTGAAGCGGTTGATTCCAGTTGGAGCAACACTCAACACACTGAGCGAGCTAAGAAATTGCCTTCGGCAGCGTCTAGATACTAGTCTACGAGTATATAAAATATTGGCAGCAATACAAATATGTAATGAGATCTGAACCACACTTGGCGATTAGGCTTCATAATATACCTTCCACACTTAGGGTAGACGGTTTTGCAAGTTTTCGCACCGAGAATCTTTCTAACCACATCATGATTGTGCTATAATCGAGTCATATAGTGCACAAGTTTTAAATGTGGGGAAAAAACATTTATTACAAGACTTATATGATTTGCAGTCGCTTCAACGTTCTGTTCATGTATGTACGTACCTATTCGATTTTGTTTATCATTCTGTATATTGAGTGTTAAGAACTAACTAGCAAAAAATAAATAACTTGGCCTTTTCAATGAAGGGCTTAAAATGCAAATGCGAAATGAGCTCAAGAAATGTGAATTTTTATTGGATTTTAGTCTCGGACTGTAGTAACAGCTAACTTTTCTAAAGTTTTGAATTAGATTGCAAAAAAAAAATTAATTTCCTTGAAAAAGGCTTGTCACTGTGTGTGATGTTGTAGTCGAGAAGAGTTTATTTCACTATTAGGTGAGTCTTCACTTCCCTTTGAGACACACTAGTTGTGAAGCACTAATGTTTTTAATGCATATAATACAAAACAAAAACAAGTATTCTCCTGTTCATTAAAAAAACCATCAAAAACATCGCCGCTAAACGTCATGCTAAGCATATAAGAATCGAAGTAAATATAACATGTAGTCCTCCACCGAAGTTTTCTGCGTTTCACTATGGCTTTTAGATAGACTGCGTCCAACTATATTATTTTGTCATTAATTTGGTGGTAAACTTAAAAGTTTTGCTACAAACGAAATCATATGGCTTGTACAGCTTTTCGATAGTTGTGAACTGACATAGTCGGTCTCGACATATTGTCTGTGTCCATCAATAAGAAACTGCAATGCAATAAGAACTTGCAATATTTACTTGCTTTGTTGTGTTTCTTATAAGGGACTATTGTACATCAATCACCAAACAATTGATGATCGCAACAAAACCCCTCCAAATGTCATTAAATTAAATCATTTGAGTTAGTCGATAATACCTTCATGTCTGTTGAAACTTAGTTTTACAAGTTTATATATATTATATATTAGGGAGAAAAGACGTTTGCTGTGTGATCACTTAAGCGAATGGTTCTGTTTCTAATATGTTTCGGTCTTTTTGAAGCATTCTACACTTATTTAAAAATAAGTATGCACAAATAATGAATGAATGTTGAATAATATATGTATGCGTGTTCATTGAATTAAATATGTGCCTGGACTAATCAATCTGTTTAAACAGCCACTCACCTCTTCTTCTGTGGGATGTAACTCGCAATTTGTTGGGCGAAAGCATCGGTGGTCGCGGAGCCATGGTGCTTGGAGCCTCATCCGGCGCGGCCAGGCCAATCGATGTGTTGTGCTTCTGCTGCTGCGCCCAGTTACCAAATGAGTGGCGTCTCAACCCGCCGCTAGGCAGCGTGTGGTGGCGGTGCGATTTGCTGTAATCGTTGGTGGAAGATGAAACGAGAAGAAGAGCAAAATCACCCACAGTTTGCAAAATGTCAACAGCTGCATGCGCCACATCAGGCAGAGACATCCTGTCAGCAGTTTCTACTTGTCTACCCATTCCAGACGCTGAATTCCCCAACTCCCCTACTCACCTTGATGGCGATGTCAATGGATTGAAGACCTCGTCGTGGTCCATGGCGGTACTACCGGGGCACAGTGAACTGTGCGTTTCGTTGAAGGAACCGAGGCGTTCGCGAAACGTCTCCGAGTGCGAGTTGGACGAGCGCTGGCGATGCATCAGCGGCTGCAGTTCAAACGATTGCTATAAAATGATAGCAACGGAAGGGGAATAAATTAGAAAGACAGAAACAGGAAGTTGAAGATTTGCAGATAAATTCGAATTTTATGATCAGTGATGTTGGGTGTTATTTATGCGTATTCGCACTTCCACTTACTTGCGAGAAGCCGCCCAGAGAGCCGAAGCTTCCGCGGGGACTGCCAAAGGCCATCGTTGCTGTCGTATCAAGGTTCGCCGATGTGATTAGACGCGTGTGCTCGGGATTGCCGATCTGCCGGGGACTGCTGCCCTTTGCATTCCGACGCTTAAACATTGAGAAACCTTTGCTAGACGATTGAGAGTCTGGTGTGTGCGGTGATTTGGAGTCATTGTAGAAATAATACGGATTATCTATAATGGCAGAGAGGTTGGAGATATTGATCATATTTAATTTGTCCGACCAGAGTATTTGGTCAAGATTAATTTGTTAAAATATATTCAGGTTTCATTGGTTGATTTTACTCAATTCCAAAGGAGATCGTTTATATGTACTACATTAGTTTTCGTTTTGAGAATGATATATTTAAATCATAAAATATTTATATTAATTATTGTCATTAAAATTTCCTAAACCATTGCAAGAACATACGACTTTTGTCATATCCTTATTTTTAAGGTAGGAGCTGCAATATTAGTGGGGTAATCTATATATAACATAATAATTACGAAATTAAAGAAATTCGTGTTTTTTGTTTTTCTTTATTCTTTAAGACAATGTATGATAGACCGGTAATATATGTAGATTTTTACTCAGTGTTTACCTGAAAAAAATGTGTTTGTATTATCCACAGTAACAAACATCTTGAAACTGCTCCAATCGATAACGAAGTATAGGTGGGTTCAATTCGTAGTCACTCAGACTGTGCGGCACGAGTGTGTATGTCCATCAATTACAATTCACATTAAAAACTGCGATTTATGATGCATTTGGTGCTTTAGTGTGAGTATCAGACCCCGGCAACGCACTTTCACTGCGCACGCGCCCAAGTCCGGTGGGTAGGCAACAAATGTAAACACAACAAATTCACAATCACAGTAGCGTGCCAAAAATGGCAATGGGAATAAGCCCAGCTCAAGCTTTGGTGGCACTATTTTGAAATATGTTCAGTGTCTATTAAATGCTCAGTACTTATAATTTAAAACTCTAACACATGAATTCAAAATCTAACGGTCCGAATTGGCGCTTTTGTTTTGATTGAGTTTCACTCCGCGAGCGCGTGCGTCTGAATTGAATTCCCGAAACGGAATAAATTCTAAAACTTCAACGAGAACAAAACACTTGAGCCATCGGAGGCGGCCACGACCGTCGCTGCTGCTGCTGTCGCTGCTGTTGCTGCTGCTGCCCTCGCACCGTCGCATAGAATCCCTCGCTGCTGCTTCGAATTTATTATTCCATACGCTTCTTCTTTCTCAACTTGACGAACGACACAACTTGCAGCGTGCCTGTCGGACAGCATAAAAAGCAGCGTCTCTCCCTCACACACGCACTCTCGCACTCCCGCATACGGGATCAGTGTTCAAATATGGCAAACATATTGCACCCACACTCAGGGCTCGTACTCTACGCTGCAGTTTAGTTCGGTTAGGGAAAATTGCTGCGTTGTGCGTCTGTTTCGCTGCGCTGTCGCTAACATGGAAAACTGAGAAAGGCAACCCGAGCCCAATGGCTGCGCTCACTTTTCTGGCTGTTTCTGTAGTTGCTCTTCTACCTACCTGTGCATGTGCATGCGTACATACGAGAACACTTCTTTCCCAGTGTGCGCTTTTCGCATTATCAAAATATCATGGCGGTTCTGTGTTTTTGATTCTTAACAGCACCGTCCACCTATCCATGCAGTTATCCAGTACGTTTGGTGTTGGCCTCGTTGCGCATATTTTATGAGTTCCGAAAGGAACGTGAACAACAAAGTCCTGCTGATTTTTGTATTCCTCGAGTCTTATCAGTGTCAACGTTGTAGTTTGTTTACGGTCTGCGGCTTGCTACATTTGTTTTTATTGTCGTAAGCAACAAACACTATATGGTAAGTAATTGCCAATATAGAGAAGGGCTTAATACAATGGACAATACTGCAGTGCTTTCTTATTGCTGATTCTATGATGGTACGAACCTAACTCGGAATTAAATGTTTTTATTTCATATACAGTACAGTAACCGAAAACAGAAGAGAATATTGTTCTTGGCTGTTTGGGGTCGTGGTATTGGAGCAAAATATTTCTATAATAACTTTTCTTTGGATAAGGAATTTAGATAAAGGAATGAGATGATACAATATATAAAGTGCGAAACAGGGATTCGAATTCCAGGCCGTCTCCGACAGACGGTTGGACGAATATGCCTAGATGGAATTGTTTCGCCATGCTGATTAAGAATATATGTTATATACATACGAATATGTATACTTCGTAAGATCGGAGATGCCTAAAACATAATTTGCACAAGCTCTTTACAAGTATACTCTGTACATGAAATGTACAGAAGTATATTATGTTTGCGGGAGCTGAAAAATGTAACAGACAGAAGGAGGCGTGGCAGACTCCACAAAGTATATATATTCTTGATCAGCATGACGAGACGAGTCGATATAGCCCTGTCTGTCTGTCCGACTGTCCGTCTGTCCGTCCGTATGAACACCTGGATCTCAGAGACTATAAGAGATAGAGACACCAAATTTTGCACAAAGATGCCTTATGTGTGTATTTTATATGCGTTTTTTTTTTATTTTTTTGATTTTCCCACCTATGGGGGTTTTCCCGATTTTCCATTCGTATAATCGCCTATATCTCGGAGACTATAAGACCTAGGAACACCAAATTTTAGTCCAAGATGCCTAGTGTGAAATTTTGAAAATACCCCCAGTTGGTTATTATGTGTCCGTATGCCAAGTTTCACTATGATAGACCGATTTAACAAGAAGTTATAGTCATAAATATATTTGCTGCTGCAGCGCTGCTCAAGCGCTGCCCGTGGCTGTTGATGTTGCTGTTTGGTTGACTGGACACATGTTTACACAGACACGAATAGATGCGCATAGGCATACATACACTCACACAACCGCAATTGCTATGTAAATGTGCAATTATACACCCTTTACGTGAGTTCGAATACCGAGAAAGGTAAAATCGAACAAATTTTTTTTTAATTTTCTTAATTTTTTTTATTTTCTATAATTATTGTAAACATATGTACAGAGTATTTCAAAGTCGGGACCCCCGACTTTAGCTTTTTTACTTGTTTTAGCTTTACAACTATTTAGCTCTTGTCAAATATTTGCATTTAATATACAATGTTTAAAACGTTTTGGGCAGACTCTCATTTTAAAACCTATACAAGTAGTTCTCAAATGTTGCACATAGGTTTTTTATTAAAGCCTGTTTGCTATTAAATACATTGTAAATGTAATCAGAAAACTAAAATAGACAGCTAGAAAAAAGAAATTTTAAAAGAAGCTTGTCATCAAAGACCAACATTTTACATGAAAGTATTTTAAAAGTGTTTGCCGGAGCGAAGCAATTGGCAAAACAGTGAGCATTGCCAGCTGAAATGGTAAAAAGAGCAGAAGCACGAGTAGTAAACATATCCATGTGTTGGCTGTAAAATTCCTAAGTGGACGCAGGCAGATGCCAAGAACACAGACCCTGACACACATGTTCTTAGATACTATATATACTATTGCCAACTTGCTAAATGTCCGCTGCAGATGCTAGAGAGAGTTTGCACATTTCGAGGTTCATAAAAATATAGTCAGAGGGAGACTGGTTCCTTAAGTGCCCAAGCAATAGCCTTTCTTCGGCTTTGGGCAAATGGCGACGACCAGTCGCTGAACCACATGCAAATGATCTTGAAATAGTGTACTCACTATAGAGTGTATTGTGTTTGAAGGCCTGAAGTGCACATAAATGTCATGTGTTTGTCTTCGCCTGCACGCTCCATGCACGCTCCATGCACGCGGATTCCAGCTCAACTTCGTTTGTGTGCTCTATTTTCTGTCGTGAATACTTCTGTTGATACTCAACATCGCAAAAGAAATGTCTCGGTTGGGGCATTATTTGTTACACTCTTTGATTTTTTCTGGTGCTGACAAGTTTATTGTTTTCACTGTCTTTGGTTGTACCTATGGTCAGTTTGCCGCAATAGACCCTTTTCATCTTTGCAATTTAAATGATATTATTTGTACTAGTACTTTAAAAAGAATACAAAAACAATTTTTAATACATACCTAATGCAAACGAATGCATCTATCTATCAATACCCATAATTTTTAATTTTGTATTTATTTTTTCAGTTAGCATCCAAAAAGGGATTTTTTTGTTGGGATATGAACTCTACATATTATGCGAAAGCAATAGGGCGATTGTCACGATGCGAGCTTTATAAAATATTAATATTAAATTCTTTAATAAAAATACAATACACATCCATGTAATATACATTTTTTATATTTTCATATATTTGTATACCCAATCAATAATATATACTATACTTTGTGGGGTCTGCCACGCCTCTTTCTGCCTGTTACATACATTCGCACAAAACTAGTATACCCTTTCACCCTTTGGGTACAGGGTATAAAAATGAGTCCTAGTCAAAATATTTCCTAAGAATGAAGTCTTACAAAAAAGATGAAATGTAGTAATACCAAGAAGGCAAGTAGACCCCTATCATTATACTCAAGCATATTCGAAATCAGCAAACAGACGAGCAAGGGCGTAGGCAGCTTTTACCAAAGGGGGGCCCCAAAAATTTAATTTAATTTAATATTTTTAAGGCAGGAGCTAAAAAAAGATAGTGGGTGACACATATGTTGAGGTGTTGGTTGGACTGATTTGCAGTTTGGGATCTCAATTTTTTTTTTTTACTTTTGTCATCCTGTTCTGTAAATCCCTCATTTCATTGTTAAGTGCTGACCACATTGTCGGCCCTTCTAAATATTCCGGTTATAATAGCAGTAATCTAATGTTGTTATGTTATACATCGAGGCATAAGTAATTGGCGTCGCTCGGTTTGCCAGCAATTGTCTTTGCAACCATTGCCCAGATCGCCGCTGATCCCAGGGCTGTGGGCATACTGTTCGTACGGGTCCACCGCGAACATACTGCTGGTCTACAATCAAATAGTCTCAATATACACGTATGGTTATTTATTTATTTATGTTTTGCTATTCAACATTTGTTTGCATTTTCAGGCCTTGCTGAAGTATGTGATGCGTAATTCGTGGTTGAAAAATATTAGTATAATGCTTTATACATCGTATGTATGCATGCATGTATTTATTTTTTTAGAGTTCTATGCACCCCAAGCTTAATCATTTTCATTTTTAAATGAGTTTTAGGTGGCCAGCTAACGCAGTCTC